ATATAATTAAGGTCCCAATCCTCCAAATGACTTTGAATTAATTAAAGGGCGATTACCTTGGTGGGCCTGACATAATCAGATGGAGATTCTCCTGCTGGCTTTGAAGAATGAAGCTACCAGGTTGTGACTGGGCCACGTGGGAAGGACCTAACAGCAGCCTCTAGGAACTGAGAACGACTGGAAGCTGGCAGCCAGCAAGAAAAGGGGACCTCAGTCCTCCAACTACAAGGAGCTGAATTTGGTCACAACCTGAGGGAGCTTGGAAGAGAACCCCGAGCTCCAAATGAGAATGTCGCTGCCCAACACCTTGACTTCAGCCTTGTGAGATCCTGAGTAGGGAACTCAGCTATACCTTGCCCAGACGTCTGACCCATGGAAAGTGTGAGATAATAAAATGAGTGATGATTCAAACTAAGTTTGTGATTGTTATGTAGCAAGAGAAAATATCGATAGCTAATTGCTGAACTCCAATGCCCCCCAAAATTTGATGGCAGCAGGACCCTGACTTCTGATTTTTGCTTGTGCACATTGCCACCCCCAAATAAAAGACTACAATGTGACTAGATTTTTGCTAATGAGAGGTAAGTGGATATTTTGTGTCTGAGCTTTGGGATAGCTGCTTAAAGGGAGCGTACAGCCTGGAATATAAATATGATAGCTGGTGCTCCAGCAGCCACCATGGACCATGAGGTGGATTATCTAGATAAAAGCCATGAATTAGGATGGCAGGGCAAGAAGATAGGAAGAGCCTAGATCCTAAAGGGCATAGTGGAGCTGCCACAATGACCCTGAAGGGTGACCTTTAGGTGTCTTTTAAATGAGAGAGAAACAAATTTCTATCTTGTTTAAGCCACTGTTATTCTGGGTATTCATTATATGCATCTGGCCCTAATCCTGAATAATCTAGGTGGGCAACATACCTTTCCCACAGATGAGGAAACTGAGGTGCAGAGACGGTACTGAGTTGCCCACGGTGGGTCCCAAAGCTAACTAACTGAGCTGGGCTTTGAGGTGCAGCCCATCCTCTCCAGTGTGTACCGCCTCTGCGGCAAGAGAACACTCCTCTGTCTCAAGTGTTTGTAAGAAGAAGGCAGAGTTCTGTCCCCAGGCCAAATGTTTGTCCTCTCAGCTCTCTCCATGTGTGAACTTGACTGGGTGCCTCTTCCTACCCCAAACACCAGGCAGAGAGGGTGGGAGCGCCCACCCCACCACCAGCCTCTGCTGAGCCGCTCCCAGGAGGAGGAGGTGGGAGCCGCTGACTGGGGCAGATTCCAAACTGGGAGGGCCTGGTGTTGAGTCCAGTTATTGGGGCTCAAATTCCAGTCCCACCAATTATTTACTGGGCAACTTCGAGTAAATTACTTCACCTCTCTGGGCCCTCTCGGCGTGACTAGGGGTGATGTCAGCTGAAGAGGTAGGAGCAACAGTGATGGAGAGCAAGAAGGGGGACAGGAGAGAACAAAGAGGCCCTCAGTGGCACGGCAGGCAGACACACACACACACACACACACACACCCCCCACACACACACACCCTACAAGTTGAGTAGGAGGCTCCACAGGTGATGTGGGCAGAGATGAACTAAAGAACACCTGTCCTCCCCTTCTTGCTGAAGTGCATGGCCTTTCCACCTAGCTTATCTTCCTACATGCTTGGGAAAGTAGAGGGTCAGCAAAAGAGAGGAAGACCTGCAACGAGATTGACTGACACAGTGGCTGCAACAATGGGCTCCAGCATAACGATCGTGAGATGGCGCAGGACCGGGCAGTGTTTCATTCTGCTGTACATAGGGTTGCTATGAGTCGGAACTGACTCGATGGCATCTAACAACTTTTAATAGAGATACGGGAACGAATAAATGTCGTTGTTGCGTGCCGTCAAGTGAATTCCAACTCATAGTGACCCCATGTGACAGTAGAATTGCCCCATAGGGTTCCCTAAGCTGTAATCTTTCCGAAAGTAGCTCTTTCTCCCTCAGAGCAGCTGGGGGTTTTAACCACAGGCCTTTCCGTCAGTAGCCAAGCGCTTACCCACTGCACCACCGCGGCTCCTTCCAACAGTCACCTACAACGTAACAAGCAGCAACTGACAATTGCCGCACTGTGAGCAAGACAATAGGGAGTGGTGGGGACTGTGGCGACAGCTGCACTTCAGCTCCAGCCACGCGGGAACGGGACCCAGCCCTACTGGTGTCTCAAAAGACGCCAGATTTGGGATTCTTTTTCCCCCACCAATCCTTTGGTTTTCAAAAACATGTTGGCAATGAATCCACTCTTTTCAAAATGTGTGGACACTATGCAGGGTGAAGAAGACACAGCCTCTGCATCTGCCCCTCCAGTTTGCAGCTCTGGTCATAGGCCTGGAAGACAAAAAATCGCGCATCAGGACAACGGCAGAAAGGTTTGGAAATCACAGGGGCTGCAACTCGTTAGGAGCGGCCGCTTCACAGAGGGGGGTGTGCACAGACAGCCTGTCCAAGTCCTGGGCTGGGATCTTAACAACATCCATTAGGTGGCCTGAATGCACACTTCAAAGCCAACAGGAGGCCAAGTGCCCTCCCTGCCAAGTACTGCTCCGAGCCCAGAACCCGGCTGCCTCTTCCCAGGCCTGTGGTGGCCACCCCTGGTCAAGAGAACCCCAATCCTCCTGAATAATCTGCCCTGGGCAGTGTTGGCCCTGCGGCCAGTGCTGCTTAACAGATTTGGGTGTATAACCTTCCCCCACTTTCTTTCTTTGCCTCTATTTTATTGGGATGACTAAATCTTTCAAGTATGTTAGCAGTAAACACAGCTAATTTACCCCCTGCCTCTTCGAAACAGCTGTTGACAGCTGCACTGTGCTTCTACCACGGACCTTTGCAGAGCCTCCCAAATCCACATCGGGTGCGTGGGTCACTCTTTCTAGCCGGAGCTCCACACAGCTGCACCAAATATTGACAAGCGCCTGTTCCTCTCTGGGGCCAGATGATAAACAGTGTGTTAATAGCCACAGAGGCCAAGGCAGAAGGCAGAGTTCTTAGCAGGCAGAGAGAACTCCAACTTCTAGGAGTTGAGCGAAGAAAACACACACACACACACACACACAGACACAGGCCCAAGAACCAAATGTCTTCTTTTATTGCAAAGTCAAAACCTTTTTTATTTTGTCTATTTATATACAATTTTCGCTAGTGACTGCCCTACGTAACAGCGTGGGCACATTGGTCTGGTCATTAATAAATAGTCTTAAATAAGAAAACAAACAGGTTGAAGGAAAGCGAGCTCGTCATCCTGAACAAGGATTAACAGGAGGATTTTAAAAAGAGCTTCAGATGGAAATAAATATCTTTTTGTTTTGTTTTGTTTTGCAATAACTATTTACATGCTTAAATGTACAAAGGATGCTTTGTACCCCATGGCTGGTCGAGGTGTAAGTGGGGAGAACCGGCACCCAGCAAGAGTCCCACAAAAAAACCTCAATGCTGCCAAAAAAATAAAATCCAATGAAGAAAACCACTTCTCCCCATTGACGAGGCAGAGCGCGAAGCCCAGAGCCCGAACTACGGCAGAAGAAAAAGTAAAAGAAAATAAAAACAGGACCCAGTGTTTCCAGGAATCAGCTTAACCACAGAAGAGAAATGGTTCCCACTAGACCGCATTCCATGTAGCCAGAAGTCTTGCCTGGGTACCTCTGTTCCTTCTGCAGATGCAGGAAATGTTCCCAGATGCCAGGGTCCTCCGAGCTCCAAGCCAGCCGGGGTTGAGAGCCCAAGGCCTCGTGTGTGCAGCTAGATGGGGGTGACACTATTTATGGAACCCCACCAACCAAGGCAGGGGATGCTTGAGTCAGATGCTGTGTCAGAAACAAGTGCTCCCAGCCAGATGCTTGGTTAGGACAGCACCCTCCAAACAGCTTCTAGAACTTTCCATTTGAGATTTGCACACCTTGCACCTGGCAGACCTCCCACCACACCCGCTCTCCCTTCCTTCAAGAAGGCTGCAGAGCCCTCTAACAGGGGTCTGCAAATGAAAAGGGGCCATAAATGTTTCCAGAACCTGGACCTCAGGGTACAGAGGGGTCCCACTTGGGGGATGAACAGTGCAGCTCCCCACCCATCCCTTTGGAAAGCTAGGTTTCTGTAGTGCTTCTGAGAACAGGGCCAGTGTTGGCCAGAGCTCAGCATCAAGTCTGAGGTTCAGCCTCTGCTCTCCTCCCCTGCTCTGCAATTCACTTAGATTTCCTAGCACGGGGACAGTTGGAAAACCAGTTCTCAGATGTCTGTCGGGCTTTTGCATGCCTGTTTTGATTTCTGCCACCACAAACCCAGCTGAACAATGGAACATACTTTCAAGGTCAACACAGTCCCTCCTCCGAGCAGAAATCCGCCCCCCCCCCCTTCTCCTTCCGGCAAATCTTCGGTTTGGGCAGTCCTGGGTAAACAGGGGCTCTGCAAGACTCAGAAAGAAACGGGAATGGAACAGAGGGGGCTTCCCCTCTCTCCACCGGCCAAGGCTTCTGTTTACAAAATTAGAGTAAATGAAGAAATAGGGATAAATTGTTTAGGAAAATCTCTTTGTAACATCCTAACCATTTTCATTCATTTGTTTTATTTTGACATTTATTACAGGAACTTCCGCGTCGGTTTTCCTTTAGCACAGAAGAACGTGCCCGCCCCTCACCGCACCCCCGTCCTCCCTCCGCTGGGTGGCCTGGCTCAGGGAGTCATAATTATCTCTGAAGTGAGCCTGTGCACAGCCGAGGCCTCCCAGCCAATGACCGCCTCAGCCAATGACCCGCTGCAACGCTCCTTTCTGTGTACTTGTTCCTGCCAGGATTTTGCCCGCAGCCACTTGTAGGAGCTTGTCTGTAGGTGCCGATGAAAATCGCATCAAAAGCCATTCGCCTTTCAAATTCCTGAACACTCCTAACACCTTTGGGGTTGGGGAAGGGGAAGGGGCGGTCTCAGAAAAAGGTGACTGGTCCATTGGCTCCCTGCCAAGGCCGGCGGGTAGGTGGGTGACCGAGGATCCATCTGGAAGAACATGACCCCAGAGCGTCCAGCTCCTGGGAGAGCCTAGTGGCAGCCGCAGGCCCGGACCACCATATTTCTGTACTTCTTCAGGATGACGTTGGAGCTGTCGTCAAAGTAAAGGACCGAGATGGCGTTGAGCTGGGTGGGGGCGCAGCAGGGCTTGGGCACCGTTTCGGGGTTGATGAAGTGGACCTGGAAACACATCAAACGTTGGCAGTGGTGAGAGGCGGGTAAGGCAGGGTTCCCCGGCCTCCGTGTCTATACAGAATATACACTGCTTGGGCAAAGTAATCCTAACCCATTGCTGTCGAGTCGATTCCAACTCATAGTGACCCTATAGGACAGAGTAGAACTGTCCCCTAGGGTTTCCAAAGATTGGCTGGTGGATTCGAACTGCCAACCTTTTGGTTAGCAGCCGTAGCTCTTAACCGCTGTACCGCGAGGGCTCCAAACTGATCCGAGGTGACGTTTACTGAGCACTCCCTGTTCTCGGTGCGCTATCCCTATTTTATAAATGAGGGATGAGGGAACTAGAGCCGAGTTCACAGAGCAGACAGTTCCTTCAATGGCCATAACGATGGTCACAAACATACCAAGGATCGTGAAGAAGGTACTGGGTGGGGCAGCGTTTCGTTCTGCCGTACACGGGGTCACCACGAGTCAGAGCTGACACAATGGCAACCAATACCACCACATCTAGTAAGTCAGTAGCCGGATGAGACATTTGCGGCTGCATCAGTCTGTGCTGCGGACCTATCCTGAGCATTGCAGGATGTTCGGCAGCATCCCTGTACCCACTAGATGCCAGTAGTGCCCCTCAGTGGAGGCCGGTGGAAACAATCTGAATAATAAATTTTTAATTTTCTGCAACATACCCACAGTACTATTAGTTCAACACACAGTGTTATTGTTAGGTGCCGACACATAGCGACCCCATGTGACAGAGTAGAACTGCCCCATGGGGTTTCCTAGGCTGTAATCTTTACGGGAGCAGATCGCCAGGTCTTTCTCCCATGGAGCGGCTGGTTGGGTTTGAACTACCAACCTCTCGGTTAACATGCTGCGCATCACCAGGGCTCCTGGTATAAAGGTTACTGTCAAAGTTTTATACTAACAACATAAACATTATTAATGAGATATTTTACTTTTTGAGGTTTTTTTGGTGCGAAGTGTCTGTGTAAACCAGTGTTTATTTTTCACTCCCAGCACGTCTCCATTCCGAGTAGCCACGCTGCAACTGCTCAAGAGCCACAAGTGGCTAGTGGCTGCATTGACTGAATTATTATTTCATAATTGGACTGTGGAGGTCCAGACCACACAGCCTCTTGAGCAAGAAAATAAGCAGAGAAGAGTTTTGGTGACCACTTGGTGTTGCTACTCAGTGAGTGACACTCGAGGCCGTGCCCCCCACGGGATGCATCACCGCAGATCTGAGTTGTTCCCCGAGGAGGCCCCAGCTCCCAGCACAGGGTCTACACGCAGGAGACACTCCATAAACACCACTGAATGGTGCACCATGACAGTTCAAGCCTAGGCAGCGGAGACACGAGCTTGCAAATGTACCAGCAGCCCGGGCAAGCTCTCAAGCCCACTGGGTCCAGGGGAAGCCCAGAGGCAGCAGAGGGACAGGGGAGACCTGTGGACACTTCTGTCTAAACATGGATCTGCCTGATGCTGACACCAAGGACAAGGGTCCCAACAGAGCCAGGGCGACTTCTCCTTAGGCACGGTGTCCAGGGCCCATGATACTTATAGGGGCCCAAGGAAATAAATGTTTTAGTGTCTTTTAAAAGCAGAAGGGAACTTGAAGGCCAAAGATTATGTTTGTCTTTATTTATTCATTTATTTTTTATATTTGTCTTTATACCAAGGAGTTGTAAAATAGGAGTCTTTGGGTGGCACCAATGGTTAACCGCTGCATTACTAACCGAAAGGTTGACGGTTCAAACCCACCCAGGGGTGCCTGGGGTGTAAGGCCTGGCGATCTGCTTCTGAAAGTTCACAGCCTTGAAAACTCTATGGGGTGCGGTTCTACTCTGCACACAAAGGTCTCCGTGACTCGGAATTGACATGAGGGCAACTAACAACAGTTGTACAATATAATTTTGAATGTTTTCTATGGAGCAATGGGGCCACAGAGGCCAATGGGCCTGGGCACAGGCAAGTGGGATGTTCACCGTGGCCCCATGTAGAGGTGGCACAGGCAGGACCCCAATATGGCACGTGGGTGGCACCTACCAGCGTCTGCACAATGGCGTGGTTGGTGGCATTCATGTAGGAGTTCAGAGGAAAGGCGCACTCCCCCTCGCAGTAGTAGGCGGCATAGCCTTCGGGAGCGATGATCCAGTCCTGCATAGAGAGGTGAGTGTGGACGGGCTGGGGGAACTGAGCTCTGGAACCACATGGGATGTGTGCACTGCAGGGTGCAGCACGCCATACCTGAGACCCCCCTACGTGTGGGCCAGACGTGGTGCTGGGCTCTTGTTCAGGGGTCAAAGACGTAGCCCACGCATGCCCTCCTGAGCACTCCATTGGCGCCATTAACACATGAGCAGCCAGCCCCTCATGGCACCAGCAGAATGCAAAATGAGCAGAATGCAATGAGAATGGATAAGTCCTTGGTGGAAGGAGGTACAGTGAGGTGGGCTTTGGTGTCAGAGTGACCAGGCCTGACCACCAACTTTAGATCTACCAGGGTGTAACATGCTGGGCAGTTTCTTTACTCAAAGCCTCTGCCTCAGTTCACCTTCCTGCAAATAGACTAACAAGCCGGCATGGCTGGGGTGAGAATTGAATGATAATGTGTGTAGCATGCCCGGCATGAGGCCTGGTATGTCTATGCTCCTCTAATAAAGGACACACATGGGCACACTGGCCTTTGGTCAGGTGCTTGTTCTAGCAGTAAATACACCCTTCATTGAAACTCGTCCATGGAATCTTCTGGCAGAGGCTCTGGAGTTTGGGATTCTGTTTCAGCACCAGACATGGGCACTGCCTGGCTCCTCAGAGAGCAGGTGCTGTCCTGAGCATCACAGGAGGACGCCGGGGGGCTTTTGCACAAGTGCCGCAAGCATACATTTGAGCACGATCCCCAGGGAAGAGTCCAGGCTCTCCCACTGAAATACACGCTCCCCAAGGGAAAAACAACAAAGCCAATCACCCTGTGACTGCATGGCAGTGCCCTGTGCAGGGACATTTCAGCTCCATGAGGACAGGGACATTGCGATGCTCACTGCTGACCCTCCAGGGCCAGAGCAGGGCCCAGGAGTAGCAGATGCCCAATAAACAGTTATTGAACAAGTATCGTGTCAGAACTCATCACAGAGACTTGTTAGCTTGCTGGACCCTCACTTCTTCTCCAGGGTTTCTCCCTTGCTCTTCACCCCACTCCATCCAAATGGTTCCACAGGGAGCAGCCATGTTCCTAGAACATGGCCCCACCCCTCTTAACAGCTGATTGGTTCAGGAACAAGCACCAGACCTAGGCTTGACCAATCAGCTTCTTCCCTGGGAATTTGAGTCCTGGAAGGGGGAGGAGGGGCAGAGACGGCAGAGAGGGGCAACCCAGCTCTCTAGGGTGCTGGATTCTACCTAACCCAGGCTCAGCCATGTCTACCCCACTGCACAGATGAGGGAGACAGCCCATCCGCATAATGGGGATGAGGCTTACGCAGAGAATGAGGTTCAGAGTCCAGTGGTGTTAGGATTCTCAGTTCTATTTTGAGTCTCTGGGGTTTTATGAGATACCTCTGTGTCCTTAAACCACATGCTCCTCTGCACATAGGCCCCTTGGTGTTGGAGTCTTAGCTGACACAGATGAGAAACACGACACTGTTGCCTTGCGGGGACACAGAGTCCAAACCGGAGGCTTCCCACATCAGGACAGATGCTGCCACCCCTTACCTGCCAGCCCAGGTCACGGAAACTGACGTACAGCTCGTGCTTCTTACAGGCCTGCCTCTGGTCACTGCTGCTGTTTTCTGCGTGGATGAGGATGTGAAGCAGCAGAAAAAGGGGGGAAAGAAAAATAAACACACACGTTGTATGACACTGTCCTCATCCAAGGCGGTCACATGATACACAGAGCCGCAGGATGTATTTTCAGATGCTAACGCTGCTGTGAGGGCCTGGAGCTTTATATTCCCATTTCCACCCCAGTAAATGGCTCAGGTAAAGGAGATGCCAAGGCCCCCAACCCTCTGCTAGAAGGACATCCTGGATCCTTCTGTGGACACTGATTTCTTTCATATACGTGCATTTTTTAATGCAGGCATCTGGCCTAGGCTCCATAAGAGCCCCACAACGCTGGCTGCAGGAACCCTGTTTGGAGAAATCCAATTCCGAACCACCTTACCCTAAGGACAACAGCCCACCCCAGGATTCCCAGCCCTCTGGAGGGGGCAAGAGAGGACCAGGAAGCAAGGGCTGGGAACTTATTCCCCCCATCACCACCACCACAAAGAAGAAACTAGAGGGCAGAAGGTGAAATCCCACTATCTTCCAGAAATAAACACTGTAGAGGCTTCTCTGAGGAGGAAGATGATGCATCGGGGTTTTCCAGAAGTATGCAAGGTTTGTAAGCGTTTGGGTTAGGGAGGAAGCACTTGTAAACATGGCAGACATCCCCTTCTCTTTCTCACATATACATGCACACGCACGCACGCACACCTGTTGTCACCGTGCAATCTGCTCTCCACCCTGCAGCTGCAGGGATTCGTTTCTTCTTAACCACAACCCATCTCTCTTCTGCGTAAAATGTCCAATGGCGTTTTTTTCATCTGGCAGCAATATTCAACTCCTGCCCTTGGCCTGTAAGGTCCCGTGTGGCCTGGACTTCTAACCCATTCACTATCAAACTCCATGACATTAGCCACCTTTCTGTGCCATGAATGCGCTCATTCCCACCTTGGGGCCTTTGCACGTGCTGTTTCCTCTATCTGGAATGGTGGTGAGGGCGGAAGGAGGAAAAAAGAGAAAGAATGGGTCTGAGGAGAAGGGAGGACAGAGAGGCAGGACAGAACAGCGTGGAGGGGAAACAATGGAAGCCAGGAAATGGTCTCTAAGGAGTTTTCCAGAAAAGCTCAGGTCAGGAATAAAGAAGGGTTTGTCGCTGGTGGGCTGCCTTGCGGGGTGCGGGGAGCACACACAGCCGAAACCAGAGGCTTCCCAAATGCCACTTTTATTTTATTTTCACCAGCTTTTTTGAAAATTCCCAGTTTTTATCCACATCTATATAACCAGATATCTAGGTAACACACATGAGGGATGTGCTGCTATCTTCAATCAAATATATGAGACCAAATGGGCAACTCCTGCCCAAAAGTAAGACGAGAAGGCAGGAGGAAGTCAGGAAAATTGGACAAATGGACATGGGGAACCCAGGGTGGAAGGGGGACAGTGTTGTCGCATTGCAGGGATTGCAGCCGATGTCACAAAACATTGAGTATAAATTTTGAAAGAGAAACTAACTTGAGCTGTAAACTTTCACCAAAAGCATGATTAAAAAAAAAAAAAAACCCTGTGGAAGACAGTTCTACACCCATGCAGACACCGGCAACTGGTTACAGTCCAGAAAAGCAATTTTTTTTTAGATATACAAACTAATGAGAAAATTATATTTACAATTGCCTCTGTGTTTATACAGGAACCTGGCACTGAGCAGACACTCAAAACTCACTGTGAAACGGCCTTGGTGAGGGCTGGGAGAGGCACAGCCACCTTCCTGCCGCCGAGGGAGCAGGCAGCGTCTGCTTTTGGATGGCCTCCCCTCACTATCATCTGTGCCCGCACCACTCCATCCATTCATTCACTCACTCATTCATGCAGACATACTGTGAATGAGGGCCTGCGCTGTCCTATGTGCTGGAGACATAGACGGGACCAGAACAAGGTCCCTGCCACTGTGGGGCCATATTGTAGAGAGAGGCAGATAATCAACAGATAAACAAGTAATATGAACGATACCCCATAGAGATAGGTGCTGTGGAGAAAAATAAAGTAGGGAAGGAGGGCAGGACAGGTGCTAATAGAAGATGATCTTATCCCAGCCGACCATGGGGAGGGCACGGGATCATCACGAGTTGGGGCCGACTCAACGGCGGGGAATAACATCTAATGGAAGATCGCTCCGAGGAACTGGCATTTGTGTAAAAAAAAAAAGGAAGCGAGAGAGCGAGCCGGGAGGTATCCAGGGGAAGAACAATCCAGCATGGAGACACGGGGGGAATGGAGAGCCCAGGAAAATGGGGGGATGTGCCTGGGCCTGCTGGAATCATGAGTACACTTTACAGAGGGACAGGGACGAAAGTCCTTGAGGAATAAGGAGAGGTGAGCTCCACGTCAACAAGGGGGCCAGACAGTTTCAAGGCTGGGGATGGGTGGTTAGTGAGAATGGAGGGGCAACGGGCTGGAGGCAGCGATGTTGGGGGGAGAGGGAGTCATGAGGTCCCCTCCCTCTCTTGGAGCTGGCAGCACACGGGCTGAGAGAACAGCCCCCCAGGGGAAGCAGGGTTCTCTGGAAGTCAGGCTGTTGTTAGTGTGAGAAGGTCAAGGTCCTGGGACACATCAGAGGAGAGCCTAGGACTCTGCTTGACTATCCACACTTCCACCTGGAATACTAAGTGCAAATCTAACATGGCGCCGGAGACCGTGGCAGAGGCTGAACAAGGCTGCTGGGAGGGCCGTCTGTGCACTGCCTTCTTCCTCTTCCTTGTGCAGAAGCAGCAGTGGGAGTGAGAAAGCAGGAGTGTCCCCCAGCCTAGGGACGCTGTGTGAAGCCACCTTAGAGCATGTTAGCTTAGGCCAGGGATGGCAAACAGGATTTCCGTTGAGTGCAGAGGGCTGCTATCCTGAGTGACGTGGGCACTCAGTGGGAAGAGGGCCACGATTGATTCACAATATCTGCCACCATCAAACGAAACCCACTGCTGTCCCATCAATTCTGACTCACAGCGACCCTATAGAACAGAGTAGAACTGCCCCATGTGGTTTCCAAGAAGCACCTGGTGGATTCAAACCGCTGACCTTTGGGTTAGCAGCCATAGCTCCGAACCACTGTGCCACCAGGGTTTTCATCAGGAGGCCCAAAACAATGATCCTCAGCTTACTATTGACACCCAAGGCTCAGATGCCAAGGCTGAGAGCAGCTCACCACGCTGGGTGCGGGTGTGAGCGGGTGGGGCACTCCCTGGCCCTGCCATCAGGGACCCCAGCCCCTGCACCACCCTTCCACTCTCCGCAGACCTCGTCTACCTTGGAGAACATCATTGGAACTCGTGTTTAGTGATGACCTCTTCTTATCAGCAAACAGACCAAAAGGCGAGACACACTTGGAATAAGACAGAGACCCTCGGGAAGTGGATCCCACCCCCTGCCACAACCCCCAGCTGCCCCAAGCAGCAGGAAGAAGGAGCAGGAAGCAGCCCCAGACGCAGCACAGCTGCTTCCTCCACCTCCACAGGCTCCACCGAGCAGCTAACAAGTTACAACTGGTGCACAGACCCGGGCCCACCCCCTCTGGGTCATCTGTGAAGATGGCTAATTAGCAGGGAGCCAGGTCCAAACGTGGGTGGGGAGGAGGAAGCGCAGGGAGGTGAGGGACCCAGTTTCTCAACTCAAAACCACATCATCTGAAGAGCACGGAAGGCCCTGGGGGCGTGGAGCCTGCAGGAGGCAGGCTGGAGCATGTGGCCACCAAGCACGTGGCCACCGAGCATGTGGCGTGCCAGGGGCTCCACTTGTGTGGCCCAGCAGGACACCTGGTCCATTTCCTAGGAGGGTCCATGCACACACACGGACAGACAGAGGTACACATGCACTGGTGAACACAACACACAGACGCCGACGCAAACCAACCATGGGGAGCGCTCTGCAACTGGGCCCAGGCACACACACACACACACACACACACACACTCATTGACAAGACATGTGCAATCAAATGCACTGACAGACACACACAATAACACACACACGGACACACACAGACATGCACAGAGATGCAGACACACACACACAGACACACACAGACACACAGACACACACACACACAGACACAGACACACACACAGACACACAGACACACACACAGACACACACACAGACACACACACAGACACAGACACACACACAGACACACACAGACAGACACACAGACAGACACACAGACACACACAGACACACACACAC